AAATTAATATTACTATTTTTTAAAGAGATTAGTATAGAACATAAATATTACTAATATCAAGCATATTTGTAGAAAGGTGCTGATAAAATGAATAGTACTAACAATAGGTTTCAATTTACTATCAAATTAACAAAATATAATATTGTAAGTTTTTCACTTGTCATACATAATATAAGTGAGCAGTTTCAAATTACTGTTAAGAATATAGTAATATGTATAGTTTACAGGCCATGAATTTGAACAAAAATTGTGATTTAAGAATACGGTACAAAAATGTAGTAAATTAAAAGTATATTGTTTTGAACAAACTGATAAACTTATTACATATAATATTAAATCAATAATGATTTAGTAGCTCCACATTATAAGTTACATACAAGACAATGGCAGAACATATTACAATATGTAGTATATAATGGTCGCGCAGAAAAATAAAAATATGAAATTATAGTATCCATACTTCTAATACACACTTACATAAAGTAATGTTCTGTAAATGTACACTATCTGTGATTAAGTTATATATCAATCTTATTCATCGAAGGGTAGGTCATAATGCAAAGATAGATTAACAAAGATTCTGGATGTTCTATTAATTCTTAAGCAGGAAACTTCTAATTTTCTTAAAATTAAAGGTTGAAAATATTTAAATAATTCACACCATTCATTGTACCGTACTATTAAATTTCATTAAATCATCTAATATAATTCATCATAATTAAAGTCTTGATTTCTATTTGATTACCATGTTATGAATCATGAAAATAAAAGGAAGAGGATGAATAATCTGATAGGTATCAGCGCATACGATAAGTATTAGTTTCATGTACTTGGCACAATTCTCCTTTAAAGTCCAGTTCAATATTGAAATCCAGATCTCTGTAGTTCCTTGCATTAGGCTTCATTGAAAATACTCCATATATTTCTTCTCCTTTCTTGACTGTCATACATGCATCAAAGTAGAACACAGTTTGTTTCCAATGAGTATACTGTACTTCTGGGGCTGTGCTGAAGCCAGTACGTTTGTGGCACTTGGTGAATTCGATGTTAAAGAATGTAACTAGCGCTTGTACATAGTCATTTCTACGAACTTGTAAAGTAAATGGTGATGAAAATTCCAGATCAGCCTTAGTTACTGTGTATAAATCGACTTCTTTGATAAGACATGCATTTGTAACAACTTGTTTTGGGTCCACAACATCCACTAGAGGTTCGCTAATTGCTACTTTCCTTATACTACTCATATCAAATCCATATACATCACCCCACCAGTTTATCTTCTCATCTTTATATTGCCTATCTTCAATGCCGCAAATAAATAGAGTTGCCTTGTCTGGGAACAACATCCCATCCTCACGAAGCCATTTATCTCTAGCAAAAAGCACTGTGTCTAACATCGATTCATAAAATAAACAATAACCCATCCATTCAGAAATAATTATATCAACTTTTTCTATGCCATCAGGTAATGAAACCTCTTCAACCTTTCCTTTAAGTATTGTTATGACATTTGACAGTTGATTTGCTTCCACAATTTTTTCTGCATACTCAACAATATTAGAACACTCAATACCAATAACTCTGGCTGCACCAGCTTTAGCAGCAAACATTGAAAGTATACCAGTTCCACAACCAATATCAAGAACGGTCTTTCCTTTAAAAAGATGTTTGTTGTGATACATAGAATTACGGTAAGTCACTGTACGCACTTCATCCTTTAGCATTTCTTCATGAATTCCATAATGTGCATATGAATCAAAATAATAATCTCGAGATGTCATATCTTCCACAGAAATAGATTCCCTACAAGACGACGGAATTACATCTTTATTTGCTGCAGGTGTATTTTCTGTAACTTCCATGGATTCCATTTTTGACACCTATGATAGAACAAACAAAATACATCAATAGTAATATAACAAATTTTCATACATAAATGTGTTAATACATAAAATTTCTTAACTGTATCTAATTAGATGAAAATGTTCTATTATTTAAAAAATTCATATAATTTTAAGTTTATTATTTAAAGGCTAATGTTATTGTTATTAATTACACTATTAATTTTACTTATACATTCATGAAAAAGATTAAATTTAATTGTTTTACATATATATGAAAAGAACCTACAATTATCTACAAACACGTGATATGAGTTCATTATCTCAAATTAAAATATATAAATTTCTTTTCATTTAAATTTAATATAAATTATTATTAAACATTATTTACAATGTTGTTCATCAGTAACAGGGAATTCAAGATTTCGAAACGTCGAAATTCGCCGAATATATTCGTTTAAGTCGACACTGAAGAAAGATACACGTGCCCGCCAAAATGAATGGCGTCTGTTTAAGATCGAATGACCAGTTGAGATTCTTTACACTAACACATATTTCTTAACCATCGTGTGAGGAGTAGTATATATACAGAATTGAATATAGAATTTTCTTGTAATAATTTTAATAAATAAATTGAAAGGATGATAAATTATTTTTCAGAAATATATTTGGAAAACTTAAGGAGAAAAACTAAGCTAATCAATTTGTCGTTAAGATACTTACTAGTAGTAAAAACTATTATGACAAACGACGTTCTAACATTTTTTTTCTTCAAAAGTTTATGAAGTATCGTACATTATTTACAATAATGTCAATAGATTAACAACATTCTTAATATATTTTCTTCCTACTTCTACAAAAATATTCAGCTAAAGCTTACCGAATTCTTTCCTATGCACATGCCACTCTGGTTGATTTCTACCGGCACTTCATTACTCGACGCCATTTTGTTCCGCGTCACAGCAGACGACCACAGACAGGAACGTACAAAGACACATGACAAATTCTAAATACGGTTCTGTCAACAAATATTCAAATAATGAACGATAGTTTTCATAAAATTTTTTTCCAATTTATTTTGCATATTTTATAAGAATGTTTAACTTAAATTTATGCATGAATGCAAATAATTTTATAATTAGGTTTAACTGTCATTACTTAAAAGTACAATTGAAAGTATAATAAACATGACATATTTTTTTTAAATAAAGAGTTTAAACAATAAAGAATTTATATACATTTTCAAAAACAATTAATAAATTAATCTTTATTTTTCAATATTACTAGTTATGTGACAGAACTCTCTAGACAAAACTTTCAATATCTACTTCTAGTTATGTGACAGAAATTTCGATATAAACATTTATAATGTGATTTATAACAAGTCAAATTTATGTTAACGTATATAGTTATGTAACAGGTTAAAGTTAATATTATTTATTATAACGAGCAATATACAATATTATATTTTACATAAAAATAATGTAAACATTTGATGTACATTATTGCAATGAGAATTTAAAGTATGAGTGTGCAATGTCTTTTATACATAATTACAAAGACTACTTAAATTCTTTTTATTATTTTTTATCTGTTTCTTATATCCTAAAATCCTACCAATCTCTTTACAGTATAGAAATTATATAACGCTCCACATATTACGTAGTATAATTATTTTACAAAAATATTAATTTTAAAGTAATATTTTGTCTTATAAAGAAATGCATATATTTTCAACAATCCATGTTATGTGTACACATTAAATTTAACAACAAAATTACACAAATGTTTGTTATGTGTACCGAGACTACAAATTCACTTCTCCCTGAATGTCCTAGAAGAAACGACCATCCAAAACGTGATGCTGCTAACACATTGATACGTCCCTGTAGTGTGCGCAGTGCGGTCTTTTTACTATTTCAATTTTTGTATAAAGTAGATATTTATTTATCTCCAAAATTCATTGAAAAATCGTATCCTACTTATGTAATTATATATTGATCGAAATTAATAATAATTTAACGATAAAACGATATCTTTAATTTCGTATCTTTGCTCGGTTGTTTTCAGAGAATGCAAAGACATCGTCCAATAGGAGTCGAGTGGCTAGCTGACAAGTTGCGTCGGGGTGGAAATGGGCAGGGAACAGGAGCTTGTACGCATTCGGGCCGTGAAGTGTTGGTTTCGTGAAGGGGGTCAACTTCTGTGGCTACGTAATTTTTCCTGTGTTATTACTTTCAACGATATAATGTAAATTCGATTTTAATGTCATGCACGTGTCAGTGTCTTAAGATTATTTATATGGAGATCGTGGAGCGCTAGAAGATGCTGGTAAGGAAACAGGCGGGAGCAAAGTTGACGTAGAAACAAGTGCGCAAAGATTGTATAGTTGAGTTCTTTTTTCTGCCGTGTGCATCGAGAAAGTAAAATCCGTGCTTTTGTTATGTAGTTACAACGCTTTCGCAGGTCATTTACTTCGGACGAATGTCTCACCTAAAGTACCGTCGAGGTTACAACTATTACCTGATGTCTGAGAAATCGACAGGCTGTCACGAACGTAGTGGACTCCGTTTTGAAAACGTGGTTAAGATGTCAAAGTATGAGTTTTATTTCAACGAAATATCTTCGTGCGAAAGTTCTTGTTTATCGTAGGACACTTCGATTCAAAAATAATCTCTTGTACCTGCGAGGCATGACCGCCTACATAAACAATAGCTCATCATACGAGGCAGCTGGCGTTTTTATACTATTTTGATGCTTTATTATCCGGTTTTTCTCGTTGGTATTAATTGGAGTAAAGTATATACTTTACCAACATAGTTAGATATTAGTGGAATATATCCTGACAAGGACTAAGACATGAAATAAAAAATAATAATGATTTAAAATTTCATTAATATTGTTTTTGATGTTTTTATTTTTTATTAGGGCAATACATATAATACAAGAAATTTAAATTTTCTTTTGGATGCATTTTTTTACTTCAGGCAAAGAACGAGTGTATGATGATTATATGGAAGTATGTCATGAGCAAAAGTTATATAGCAGAAATTATACATATTAAGTGTATATATTTTCTGTTACAGGGAGACGATCCACCGTACCTATCAGTGGGTACGGAGGTTAGTGCTAAATATAAGGGTGCCTTCTGTGAAGCAAAAATTCGGAAAGTAGTAAGATCAGTAAAATGCAGAGTGACTTATAAACAAGGCTTGGGTACAGCAACTGTAGCTGATGATCAGATAAAAGGAACTTTAAGAGTAGGTGCATCTGTTGAAGCAAGACATGGAGATAGAAAAGAATTTGTAGAAGCTACTGTCACAAAAATCCAAGATTGCAGTCAATATACTGTAGTTTTTGATGATGGAGATATTACAACATTAAGAAGAACTGCACTTTGTTTGAAGAGTGGACGACATTTTGCAGAGAGTGAAACTTTGGACCAACTTCCTTTAACACATCCAGAACATTTTGGAAATCCAGTAATTGGAGGCAGAAGAGGACGGCGGTCTAGACAAGCACAGTGAGTGTAATAACATCACATCTACAGTATAGTTCAATGAAACAGCTTCAGTAGATATTTGTAATAATGATTGTTGTTATAGAGATGAAAGTAGTGATGATGAAGATAGTCCTCCACGAGGAATACGTGATTCAGGTTCTAGTGGAACAGGAAAAGAAGGAATGGAGACAGAACCTGAAATTGGACGAGTTGTATGTGTTGAGCTTGGAGATAAAAAGAAAAAAGATAATTGGTTCCCTGGACTGGTGGTTGCACCAACTGCTCAAGATACAGTGAGAATTCGAGTGAGAGATGACTATCTTGTGCGCTCATTTAAAGATGCACGATAGTAAGTTTAAATTATGTTTGTATGCAAACAAATTTTATAAAAAATACTATATGAAGTTTGCAGTTGTGTTCGACAGATTTATCAATAAGATAGTGTAAAAATTAAATAATAGTATGAAAAACAAGCAAAAGGTTTATAGTAATAAATTCTTCTTTTCTGTTTAAATTGATTAATTTAATATTACAAGATTCTTATTCATTTTTTTAAAGCCTAATGCATTACATTCATAAAATCAATTTAGATCATTATATTTCTAAATATTTTGCGCATATTTTTATAGTTTTAATTAAATAAATGTGGATGAATATTTTATTATATTGCTATGTTTGTTTTTTGCATATTTAGTTATACAGTTCCAAAGAAAGAGGCCACTGAATTTACAAAAGAACTTGTCAACAAAGTTGAGAATAGCACATTGAAGGTTGCAGTAGAAAAGGCATTGCTATTTTTAGAAAAGAATGAGTTACCTCCCCATTGGGATAGAGATTCTCTTTTTGGACACTCTGTATCAAGTGGAAACAGTGACTCTGATGGAGAACTTGATTCGGATGTAAGATATTTTTTATATGTTTCAGTTATTAATAAATGTAATTTATCACTTTTGTGTGTTATAAATGTAATTTATTATGTTTTTCAGAGTTCTGATGATGAACCGCGTGAAGAAAAAGATCATTTTGTGGCACAACTATATAAATTTATGGACGATCGCGGTACACCTATTAACAATTGTCCAATGATTGGAACTGAGGACATAGATTTATATAGGTTATTTCGAGCCGTCTATAAATTAGGTGGTTATAATCGTGTAACAAATCAAAATCAATGGAAATTGATAACACGACGTTTGAGCTTTACAATGCAGAATTCGCCGTCTACGCACACTTTGGTTAAGCAGGCCTATAAAAAATTCTTACACTCCTTTGAAGATTTTTATAGAAAATTAGGTTGTACTATGGTAAATCATCCAAGGGGTACTATTCGTAAACAACGTCCTGGTAGAAGTCTCATTAGAGATAAAGATAGAAATACACCTGTACCACCGCAAGTATCAGTCGCTAAAAATGAAAAGGAAGAAGAAGATAAAAAAACTACAGAAGATGAAAAGAAGGAAAAGAAAGAAGTTAAGAAAGAACAAGTGAAAGAAGAAGAAATTGTAAAAATCAAGAAAAAGGATGAATTTGAAGAAAGCGGCAGTGGTCAAGAAAGTGACGTGAATGTAGAGGGTGAAGCTGAATCTTCATCTAGCAGTGAGAAGTCTCAAAAAATTTCAACATCATTATCATTACCAAACAGAGGTAAATCTAAAAGTAAAGAAGATCCGAAGAAAAAAGTAATAGAAAAAAAGAAAAATGAACCTAAGAAACAAGAAAAAAAAGATGATAAAGCAAAGGAGGAAGAGGCAGCCAAAACAAGATCTAAATCTAAGGATGATAATGTAAAAATTAAAATGTCTTCTGAAAACAGGGAAACGCGAACTCCATCTAGAGAATCGGAAAGAAAAACTTTATCCAAACAAAGACGTTTAACAGATGAAGATTTAAAGAAACGGGGGAGGAAACGGAAAGAATATGAAGCAGAAAAATCACGTCCAGATGAACAGTTAGCAGATTCGGCTCCTTGTTACAAAGGACCCGTAGAATTAGGAGATAGACTGAAAGTGTATTATGGACCTACTCATGAGTCTAAAGTCACTTATGAAGCAAAGGTTATTGACATGGAAAAGGACGGTACGGAACCGATGTATTTGGTGCACTATACTGGGTGGAATACGAGATATGATGAATGGATTAAGGCATCAAGAATAGCACAGAATTTTACACAAGCTCAAGGTAGGGTAAAACGAATTAAAGCTACTTCACGACCTCAAACTCCCAGTACGAATTTATCTAATAACAACATAAATAAATCTTCTAAAATTGTTTCTAATCCGAGTTCAAGTGCATCTCAGAGTCGTCGTCGAGCTCAAAGTGTGGCACCTACGACATCAGTTTCATCTACATCAACAAAAGAGGTTAAGAAGGAAGAGAAGGAAAAGGATAAAGAAGTGTCCCAACCAGCTAGATCTACGACTCCATTGTCTGTTACAAGTTCTAGCTCTCGAACTAAAAGTCCAGCAACACCAGCGAATAATCGTCAAACACGAACAAGAAATAATGATGCTTCCAGTATAGAACATCGAAGGCGTACCAGAAGAACGTCTGGGCATGCGGATGTAGTTCCATCAGAAACTGAAGAAAGTGAAGCTTATGATTCTGACACTACAGAATCTGAACAAGCGAGGTCAAAATCTAAGACTGCAGAGGAACGAAAACGTAGAGAAGCGAGATATAGAACGGAAGATAGAATAAAGCCTGATGAAACCAGTGAGGGTGAAGAAGATAAAGATAACTTGGAGGAACCACGTAGAGGTAGACGTTTAAGAAGGACAATTAGTAAATCCCAAGGTATAAAATCTGAACCAGATAGTGACGAAGAACAACCTAAAGGACGAGATTTCGATTTGAATCAAATACGATCTGAATTAAAAGGTTTTGATAAAGCGGTGAAATTAGAACTTGTTAGAGTCGAACCTGATCCAGAAGATGAAATAAAAATAGAGGAAAAAGAAAATGTTGTTCTAGTTTCACCAAAATTGGAAAAAATTTTGGAATCATCGAAATTAGAAACAACACCTGAGATTAAAACAATAGACAACACGGAAGATATATATGAATTTAAAGAACCAGAGCCATTTGAATTTGAAGTACGAAATAAACGGGATACCAGTGGAGAAAAAGACAAAATAAAAAAGAGAGTATTTGAGGATGAGCCAAAAAGTCCTAAAAAGAAACAAAAAATGGTCCTGTCACCGGTTATAAAAGAAGCTAAACCAGAAATAGACAATGATTCACGAAAAAAAGTAAAAAAATTATTTAGTAAAAGGGTTGATGATCTTTCGGAAAGTTTACCTCTTCACAAATCATTGCAATCTACATCACTAGCAACATGTGAAGAAGCATTTGATAAACTTTGCGAGTCACCACCATTTAATCAAGTGAAACCTGTGCCCATTATTGAAGAAACTGGTAAGATAAGCAATGGTATAGATCTTTTATTTAGTGATCTACCTGGAGATGATGATGGTACTCATGATGATTCAGAAGACCGTTTAATAATATCAGAGGCAGAAATTTCAGAAACAGAACAAGAAAACTTATTTGCATATCAACAAGAAATATTTCCCTCTAATGATATAAATGATTCAGTGGAATCAAATAAAGAGGATACAAGTTTGCAAGTTGAATTAGTAAGGGAAGATTTAACACCAACAGTTTCAAATAAACCTGACATACCTGTTGAACAAAAGCAAAGTGTTAAATCTCCATTACATAGACAATCTCCAGAATTAAAAGTATTGGATACAAAACTATTGGACATTACACCCATTTCATCTCCAATTGTGACAGTTCCAGCACCAATTAGTGCAAGACTGCCAGCCACATCTACTATAGAGGAAAAACTTTCAGCTGCAATGGCTTTCCGTAATAAAACTAAAGATGTTAAGAAAGACGATGAAATTCCCGAAGTTGTATGGAAACCCTCAAAAGAAATTCCTAAGAAATTAGATACTATAACTGTACAAAAAAATAAAGAAGATCAACATGGGCCTAAAATAGAAATCGAGATCAAAAAACGAGAAGAGGAAGAAGTTGTGATAAATAATGAAGTTCAATGTAATGAAATAATGCGTGTGGTTATCAAACAAAAAGAGGAAGAACTTCAACAACTTAAATTAAAGAAAGAAGTAGAAATAAAAAAATTCGTTGAAACAAAAGTAGAACATAAAAAAATACAAGAAAGTGAAGAAGAAAAATGGGAGCATGTAGAGAATGAGAAATCCAAAAAAATGGAAGATGAATTTAAAGAGCATGATCTCAAAGAAAAAGAGAAGGAAAAACGTAAAAAAATAATCAATCAAGATATTGTAGATTCTGCAGATAGTAGTGATTCTGAACAGAGGTTAGTAATTGATAATGAGGAATCACAAGATGTAAAAACTCCATCAAATTTTGATGTTAAATTAAGAGCAGAGTTGGATAGGCTTCAAGATACTCAAGAAAGATATTCAAAATTACAAACACAAAAGCTTGTACAACCATTAAAACATCAACCACAAGAATGTCTTACTGAATTTAAAACTGACAGTACACCTGTCACGAAAACAGATGAAGAAGGAGAAACAATTAATTCTTTACTATGTGAAGAAGAAATACCAGGTTCACCAGCACCTGTTACAGAAAGTATAGAACAAATAAATGCTGGACCATCCTGTTCTCCTCCAAAAATTGAAACAACGGAAAATAGTATAGTACTAATGGAAATGCCTTTTGCAAGTGCACCTACTTCTGGTCAAAGTACAACAAGCAGTACTGTTGCTACTCTCAGCATGGCACTGCCAAAAACTGTGGAAACATCTGTTCCAGTTTCTTTACCTATGCAACAAAATCCTTCTCTAGGTGTGAGGCAACAATCTCATCATCAACATCTGCCAGCATTAATGCCTGCACAAAGGAGAGAAAGCAATGAAGCAGCACCTGTAATGGATAATACTCCTCCAACTACACCTGATTCAAGTATATCCAATATTTCTGGATCTCCAAGAGAAGAAAGAACAGGAGGTTCATCGCCAATTTCAGAGGATAATATGAAACTTAATCGCGATAGTTCTGAAGCAGATAATGATAGTGGTGGTAAAGGTCCAGGATTCAGTGAAGATGATACATTACCAAATGTTGAAGGAAACTCAGCAGATCGAATGTTAAAACCACCAGCAAAGCGATCTGTTGAAGAGACACAATCTCCTAAAAAACGTAAAAGGAATAGAAAACATTCAGAATGTGATAAAAATATTACTAAGAAAACGGGAAGGCATAGTGGTAGACATGGTAGACATGGTGCTGGAAGCGATAGCGACGATACAAGTGAAGGTTCCAATCTCTGTGGAGTTAATTCAACGTCAACAAATCACTCAAATATCACTACTGTTCCCGATCTTAGTAACTACTCATCCAGATCACCTCGACCTACAAAGTACAACTTCTATGTGGAATTAGGTAAAAAAAAACTAGATTTTGCTTTTCTTAATTTAATAGTACTATTTATAAATTATTTGATCTTTTATTTTTGTTATAGATCCTGAATTGGATGGCAGTCAAAGGATAGCTGTATTACAGCAAAAATTAGCTGAATTACGTAAAACGTATAATGCTGTGAAAGTTGAACTCGCCGCTATTGAAAGACGCAGAAAAAAGTTGAGAAGAAGAGAACGGGAAGGTAACTACTTTACTCATTTAATTTTTCAAATTGCTAATTCTTTTATGAATAAGGTATCGGAGAAATGTTTACGTGGAAATGCAGTAAAAAAAATTCAATTTGGTTCCAGCTATAAAGGCAGCTAAAGCAGAAATGCAACAAGCTTGTTCGTGATGAGCTGCCTTGAACTATCCTAATTCACTTAATCTGCGCTAAAGGAATTTTTATACAACACTGGGAGATAATAGAATAGTATCACTATATGGATACCCTGCAATTGCAGCAGATTTCATGACAATTTTTACCTACCTAACATCGTTTAGGTAACTTTTCCCCCACTAATATAAATTGTAGATATAGATATAAGATTTAGTATAAAGGAGGAACACTTACCAGAATGAAAATATATATTCATATATGCTTTGTGTTGTACATTGTTTTGTCAAGAACGTAATGTGACAGTTAAAAATTTTTATCCTCGATTTGTCATTTCACCTGCTCAGATGCAAAGTACAAATTATCGAACTTGATGATCATTTCATCGTTCATTCTTCTTTTTTAAGAAAAGGCTGAGAAAAATGTTACCGATAGTGTGTTATTGTAAAGACATCTTGGGAACAAATAATTGTCTAAGCCGTCTGTCATTTCCGTTTCGATATAGCTTATAGCACCGTTGGCGGTTGAGCTGTTTTCAAGACGATAAAATAAAGGTGTCAAGTGCAACAACCATTACATATTTCCTAGGATAGAAAATTTTGTATATATTAGAAGTAGTAACGTTATAGTGGTTTGCAATATACGTATGTACGTAAATAGAATCTTAGCGTCCTTACGATCGAAATTTTTTATTTAAAGAAAAAAGGAAATGTTGCAATTTAATGTGGTTTTTAAAGTGGTAAGGAGATCATATTGAAAGCAACGTTCGTTTGTACGTAAACAATTTGCGAAATGAACGGATGATTGTACATTGATATGCATGTGAGATATAGCACAATTTTTAATTTCTAAACAAAAGAATTACTTTAATTTATGTACATAATTTACATGAATAAAATATCGTATTATAGTTCGTCTAAAATACGAAACATTAAAGTTTATTGTAATTAACAATCATATTCGTACTTCAAAATAAATTTCTTGACAAAATGCATAGTATTGTGTTTTTAACTATGCAATTGTCATGAATGCAGCTCAACAGGATTCATCAATTTACAGCCTTTTGCATTATATCTGAAAAAATTGCTGCCATTGTGCTTTAATCATCAGATAGGTATTAGACGTTCATCGTCATATATCGTAATTGGTCAAAGATGCATTTATATTTATATTTGGGCGTCGAAGTACCCCAGGTACTAAATAAAAAGAAAACAAAAAAATTAAACTTAAGAAACAAATTGCAGAAAACGAAATCAAATACCCCTGAATGGAATTAAATTTGTACGAAGAGTTGATTAGGGGAAAGATAAAAGAAAATTAGGAGTTGGGCTCCATAAATCTTTGTACATATTTTACATTGTGTGTGTTAAAGACACTCATAAGTCAGATTTTAGTAGTTGTTTATCGCACACAGATATAGCTGCGCATATTATTGTATAATGGTTTCTGAAATCTTGCAGTAGCACATGCTATACATTTGTCTTAAGAAGTCAGAAGGATGTGTATCGGCACTCGATTAAATAATAAACAAAAATTAAATATTTGAATTTAACAGAAGTCAAAACAAATACTTTTTACAGTAACATTTTATTTATATTTCATCATCTAGGAATATTAAAATATGGTTTAAATAGAAATATATAAAAGTTCATTTTAAAAAATAATTTTCATCATTAAAACTGAGAATGGTAATGGTATTTATATATATGTATATATATTACAATTCAGTTTAATAGACTGCAAGGTAATTGACAATAGAATTGCAAACAATAATTCAAACATTAATATGAGTAATATTCCTATTTTTTTTTTGTTATATTATAAGCAACTTTGTTGCATAAAGTTTTGTTTTATGTTATATAATTTACAATACATTAGTTGAACTTCATAAAATATAGTTTAAACAATAAACAAATTACACTTTTTCTTCAAAGTACTATTATTTCTATATGCAAAATCTAGAATGTAAAACTAGTTAAGTGGATGTGGACTTCTATTCATTTCAGGATAAACAAAATAGAGAATAAATATATTATCCTAGGCAGATTCTAAATACATGCAAATTTTTTATTTTATTGTGATTTATCATTATCTTTATTATTTGCACCTTTACATATAGGCAGTAATATTTATAAGAAAACACTATTATACAGGTGTTAGTCATTGATTTTTAAATATTG